AGGATTAGTGTTTCTTAGGGTTTTTCATGGCTTGACTCTTCTTGTGATATTGAATATACACCATTGATCTTAAATGACTTGTAGGGTGAGAGATTTGAGCCTCCATTTCATAGATGGGCTATCAACATCATATGAAACGTGCTAGAACCTTTATCTCCCATTTTCTAAGCCATTTTCCTATGATTAGAAATTAAATAAAATAATTTCCATCATAATATTGTGCTTACCAAAATAATACACAAGCCTCCTCATGCTTTTGAAAAATCTATTCAAAGCTTCTTCAAGGTAAAGGCTTTCTAAAACATTACCAACCTTTTTCTTCAAGTCAAAGCTTGATCCAACAAAATAAGGAAAGTCCTTGGAGTAGGGTATGCCACCCTAGGTGACACTCATGGCCCCACCCACATTGCAAGTTGGGCCCATATAGCTTATTGGGCCTCCCATGCAATAATCAAATTAATTAAAATATTATATGATTTTTAAAAATTCGTAAAACTCAATTTAAATAATTTAAATCAATCTTTATAAATCTAAATTTGATAAATAAAATATCCAGATATCTAAAAAAATTTAAATAACAATTCTAAAAATAATATATCATTAAAAAAAATATAATTAAATTCATTAGATTGAAAAATGATCCATATGGACTTGGAATTAAATAAGTAAACACTAGGGCACTTCACGTTCAACTTTAGACTACGGTCCATACTTGTTTTCTCAAACCAACCCAGTGTTGCTCATAATCTACAATCCATACATGGGCTCATTAGTAGGTCACCAAAGTCTAGCCAATGGGCAAGAGTTTGTAATTCAAGTTTGTAGATTTCAGGTTCTCCCCTAGAGAGATATCAAGGCCTTCTAGATTTGACGCAACCATAGCTTATATGGCGCTATCACGCCCCAAGAATTTACAATACTGATATTCTTGAGATGTGACAGTCAAAACCTATATACATCACTTGATAGGACAAATTTACAGTGGCAAATTCTTACAAAGTGACAAAAGCAAGTTTAAGCACAACTACAGTATCTTCCAAATTTGATCCTAACGAGCACTCAAAATGAAACCGCAGTTATCCTGAAAAAATTGTTTACCATAATTTGATGAGTTTGGCTACTGAGTAAGTGATCATCATAATCCTAAAAATAATCATGATTGAAAGATATCAATATTTTCAAAAAGAGATCTATTAACAGAAATGCATTAACAGATTCACTTTAAAAAATGTATAATTAACTATAATCCGAATAATTGAAATGCATATAACATTTTAACGGCAGTGCATAATTCAAAAGATTTCGCAAATTATACTACTGGCGTCCCAAGTAGGTCACTTATATACCCCATCAGCGTTCTGATGGGTCCACTTAATCCCTATCGGCATCCCAGATAGGTCCACTTAATCCCTGCAGGTCCACTTATACCTCACCGACGTACCGGATGAGTCCACTTAATCCCTACCGGAGTCCCAGATAGGTCCACTTATACCTCACCGGCGAACCGGATGAGTCCACTTGTATACTTAAAGTATTTTTAAATCTCTTTAAACATTCGAAAGCAACAATATCATGTACTCAACATATCACTAAAATTATTAATCTTAATTTCACTAACACCATTAATAACAGTCACTTTCAATAAGATTTCAAAAATAACTAGTCAAATATTTTGGGCTCAAATTTAAAAAGGTAGCAGTTCGTAAAGACATTCTAGCATAATTACTAATCTGATATGTATAGAAAAACTCTTATAGAAATTCAAGAATATGGAATTATCATAATTTATGGATGTCAATTCACACATAAACATTTCACAGACAATGCCATAATCAATTGCAAAAATATCAGTTTTCAAATAATAAGACAGTCATTTCCACATGAATTTTACAATGTCTAAATATTCAAAAACAGTAGAAAGAAATCTCACAATTTTACCAAAATCAGAAATATCACATTTATTTCTAATAATTTTACAGTATCTAAAATTTTCTAACAATAGGCAAGAAAAATAAATAAATTTATTTCTAAGAATTTACAGCATTTAAAATTTCTAACATAGATAAAATATTACAATTTTATTAAGAAGATTATTTTTCAAAATAATGAGGTCGCTTGCGCATAAAATTTATCGCGCCTAAAATTCATGACAATAAGCAGAAATAATTATTTCATTTTATTTTTAAAAAGAACATATTATTTTTCAAGATAATGAAGTCGCTTACCTAAAATATTTGAGAGGGAGCTTCCGATAAAAATTCGGCTAGAGAGAGAAAGAGCTCATCGCTTTTCGACTAAAGAGAGAGAGATCTCAAAATTTTCTAGGGTGGGAGTCATCACTTCTTCTATTTAAATTCTTACGATACCTTATTATAATCTTTTATTAAGTCACACCTCACACATGAGGTGTAACAGTTAAATTACATCTTAAACGCTTAAAGCCTACGTCCACTAAAGGACATGGCCAGAGCAAAAGCTTAAACCAGGTAAAACCTTTTGAAAGTAGTGATGGTCCTTGGTCCCTAAGGACCATCATGTTCATACGAACCATCACTTATTTAAAAGTTTCTTTTCTTCTTTTTTTTTTTTATAGGATTATTATAGGCGCATAGGAGTATCTCTCACATATGCATGACCTTCACCCTGAAAGGTGACTTGCTTTCCCGAAACGACTATCATATATGCATGCCGCATGATGACATGCATATGAGGCTTTGGTCCCCATCTCTGTAAGCCACCATCACACACAAGGGCCACACAGTCCATCAACTCACTCATCCGGGTATATTCTGACATCATCAAGAGAGTACCTGTTAAAACCCTTATGGGATAGTTTTCTATGCCTAGGTAATATAAGTTTTTCCCAACTGACTAGCCTAACTCGTAAATCTCAGTTTGATATCAACAAATATTATTTGCCTAGGTAATATTTGCTTAATATTATTTGGAAATCTTTGTGATAGCTTTAAAATATATTGTCATCTTTTATTATAAAATTTAAAACTTCAAAAATAGTATAGATCCATCAGATCTATGAAAACTTGAAACTATTAAAAAAAAAAAATTTGGGTGAATAAAGAGTGGTACATCAGTGGGTATTTGGGCCCCTACCCTTTGGTGAGCGTGAAGTCAAAGATCTCACCATGGGGCTCGGCAATACTACCGCCAAGGCCCACGACATTCTGAAAAATATTGAAAATTGACGGTCCAAAAATGTATTACAAGATGCACTATTTCCAAACCTTGAAATATATATTTTTCTGATGTCCATTTATCTTGGTGTCAAGACGATCAATTTGAGGATATTTGGGCATCAAGACAACCTGGAAAGTTTTGAGGTAGACTCTAATTGGATTGTTTAGAGCCACCACTCTATGTGTACTTTTTCCAAATTCAAAAAAGTTTCCTTTTTCTTTGTTCAACTTTTAACTTTTTTACTTTTTAAACTGTATACAAGCTCATGTGATGTCTCTCCCACATTTGAATATTTCTCTAATTTCATCTCTCTTGCATCTCTTATTGCATGTCGCATGAAATTCCTTGATATTGTTAATAATGGACGTAACGTCCATGTTTCCTAGTTTAAATATATATTTTAATATATTTATATATTATGCGAAGATAAAATGGACGTAACGTTCATTTTTTTATTCAATAATTCATGTGAATGATGAGATTGAGGAAGATGTCGAACATAAAATTTAATCTTGGTAGACGAAGTTGAGATATACTTTTAAAGTCTTATGTGATCATCATATATCAATGAAATGGAAATGACAATTCTATCAAATAGCTATAAGACTAGTCTTATTTTTATGAGACTGAATGTTGGATGGTCAGAAAACAACAAATCGATACAATTAGTATAACTGAGATGAAAAATGTTGAGATGAATGAGTGCAAGATAAGAAAAGATAAAATTAGATATGGATTATCTGATGAACCTAGGTGTAATTCGAATAGACAATAAATAAGAAAAAGTAGATTTAGATAGGCTGGCCATATGCAACATCAACCTAGAATAATAACGGTTAAGAGAAGTGATTTGGGGCTCAAAAAGATATAGATAGAATTAGTGAAGAGATGTAGTGACTGACCTATAGTGTGATTGAGATATGGCAGTTGATAGAGCATAATGACATATCAAAATTCGTATAGGAAAACCCCATAAATAACCAAATCTTAAATAATTGAAATAAGACTCGGATGTGTATATATTAATAGCTAATAACAAGTAGTACCAAAGTGGCCTATGCTGTTTAGTTTAATTTTAGGATATGTAGTATACAAATCACGTGAAACCTTCCAAAACGTCCCATCTCAGTGAAATCTGTTGCGCCAATCACGACCACATTTTCATGCTAAGAGTACACTCTTTTTATCCAAAATGAACAGCGAAAAAAATTCAACCCTCTTAAATAATGCACGACCACATATGGGAGTAGGAAATGATGTCATGGTCCTTGTTCATTATGTCATTTTTCCTATTTTGCCAAAAATTTTATATTCCCTTGGGAGTATATTATTCATTTATTCCCTAGGATAAAAGTCAATATAATAGTAATTTTAGGCTCCCAATTTTTGGAATTTAACCTCTTTAACCCATAGGCTAATCTCAGAAGAAAAAAAAAGGGAAAAAAAAAAAAGGTATTAAACTCTCTAGATGCTAGAGAAACACAAAAAAATCTCAAGATTTAATATAGATTGTCCAATTTTTTAAGGGTGGCATCCAAGTGCAAGAAAAACTCAAAATTCAACTTTTTCCATTTGGAAAATAATCTTTTTAGTGATTCTTAGGTGGTTCCAAAAATTTCAAATAGAAAAAGTCCTTCCACGATTTTTTGACTTAGTAGATGCACAGTATGCTCCTGTATGAACATAGCATACTTGCTCCTCCTTTTTTGTCTTTTTTTTCGTTCTTTTTCTTTTTTCAAGTTTTTTAGCTTAGTAAAGTTACTCTCTCCTGCACCAAACTATTACGCTTCCATGTGAATTTGCATCAAGCTTGAGAGTCGTAGCCCGAGTGCCTTTAATGTTCGAATGGTACCAGTATGAGTCCTTATAAATACCGTACCTCTCTCTCTCTCATGGAACTAAATAGTGTTTCAGTGAAGGTCTATAAAGACTCTTGCATCTCCGGGATAATGCATCTAGCTTGCAAACTCTTAGGACTTCAGGTCAAGGCCTCACTCTTTCTCTCTCTTTCCCTCTATCTCTCAGGGGCAATAGGGCACCTGCCCTTATCTCTCTCCGTCAATAGTTAGTTCATGTGACTATTAATTTATTTTTCACATTTCGAGTCACCGGATCATACCTTATCCCAAAAGCCAGGGCCTCTCTTTTTCTCAAATCTCAATCTAAACCCTCCTTTCACTTTTCTCCTCTCTCTCTCTCTCTTTAATCGCTCCCATTTTACTTTTTGCATCCTTGATGTATCGGGTGCAATTTGCATACGGGGACGCCTCCGTAGGTGTAGAGGTAAGGTGCCTTTTCCCTATATTTTTGATATAAAATGTTATTAGGATTATCTTAAAATTTATTTTTATATTTAATTATAAAATTTTTTATTTAAAAAATGGCTAAAAATCTTTAAACATATGAAAATCTTGAAAATGCACGGAGTAGATAATATGTTGCAAAATGCATTATTTTTTAGACTTAAAATGTTTTTATTTTTCATAATCATGCATCTCGATGTCGAGATGATCAATCAAAGGGTTTTTCAACATTAAAACTACCTTTTCCAATGGATTTTTGAGCGCTAGTTCTATATTATAACGTAGCATCCTTATATAAACTTTTTCCTAATCTATTATTTACTAAGTAAAGTTTACTTACAATTGGATTTTATTGAACTTCAATATGCCAGGTTGGATGCAAGGTAACCTGAGCACTAAAGGTGAGTCTCGGTGTCTTCATTATATCTATTAGACAACCTTTTATCTTTCCTTACTATTTCAACGAGTGTGCTCTCTTTCTCCTCGTGGGTTGGGCAATGGGGAAGTAAATGACTGAATGCATCTGTGGCATTTCTTTGCTTTGAGTCAGAGACTTTATTATAGCGCTCGTTAGTACTACATCTAAGGCTCCAAGTAACTCTCACCTAAGCATAGGGTCTCAAATCCCTACTGAATATTTTTTTTTTTCTTACGTTTTTTTTATGTTTACATTACAGAAAAAATTAAAATAAGATTGAAACTGAGGTTTAAAAACACGGATGGTTGACCTGAATTATCAATTCCAAAAACAAGTCCAGATCGGAATTAGGCCCAGAGAACCAGCCAATAAAAAAAAAAGTTTGTAGGGGAGGCAGAACTAAGAGATTTTGGCCAAGGGAGTACTCTTGGCAAGGGGGAGGCCCTAAAATATACATTCCATATTTTTTGAAAAGACAAAAAATTTCGGTTTTTTTTTTTTATCGATTTTAAGCAAAAAAAATTTTATTTGATTGACTCGGACCTGACCTATTAACCGGCCCAATTTCAAGATACTTGGAACTGGCTCCTGACCAGTTGATCGGCCCGATTTGATTTTCCCTACCCTGGATCTAAGCATCATCACCGTCATCTCTCTCTCGGTGTGAGCCGCTTGAGTTGTGCATTCATCAGTCTAGGCATTTAACAAAGTTTTGTTTTTATCTGGTGCTCCTCCACTCCTCTTTTTCTATGTGCTTGTGTTGGTATTCAACCACATCGCGCGCGCTCTCTCTCTGTTCTATTTCCCCCTCTCTCTGAGACTATGTTAAGTATGCCTTTGCAGACTCATCTATCCAGGTTTTTAGCTTTGCTCCAACCTCCACTGCGCTCTCTGTTTCTGCGCTCCTGTTTCTTCTTGTTTGTGTATGCACTTTTGTGGTCGATCCTTAGATTAGTCGAGGTTTATTTGCTCCGTTTATAGAGTCTGTGTTGGTGTGTGTATGCACTTTTGTGGTCCATCCTTAGATTAGTCAAGGTTCTTTCCACTGAGGAAGTAGATACACAGTATGTTTCATGTGATATATAGCATGTGTGTTTAATAAAAAAAGATGCTAAAATAACTTTGAAGACATCGTACCTTTTAATACTTTTAACATCATACAGTAGATCCCAATATTATTTTAATATTATTATTTTTTGTAATTACCCCTCAGTGAACGAGTCCAAATATTTAAAACTAAAATGCCATTTTCCCTTTCTTCCTCTTATTTTGTAGTCACATGTTCCTCTCTCCCTCTATGCCCCAACTCTCTCTTAAACCCACTTTCTCTCTCTAAGAACTACTCTCTATCTATACTCTCTAACTCTTTTTCTCTCCCGTGGCATAAAAATCTGCATATCTCGAGGAGCCCACCCGAATGGGTTCTTGTCCATGGCCCTTGGTTTTCTTCAACCCCTTCTCTTTCTCCTCCCAAAACAATCAAAAGTATTATTTATTAAACCCTTTTTCCGCTCCCTACTATACCTCTCCTCATCTCCTTGAACACTCTAAAACTCCCTCCAATGAATTGCTCTTTAGATTCTCTGCCTCTACTTCTCTGCAAATTTCCATCTTTTCCCTCTCTCTCTTTCTAAATTCCTATATTTTTCCTTTTCTCTCACCAAATTTTTCATCCTTTACCTTCTCAACACAAAACCAATCTCTCGAACTCTCCTATAGAGAGCAACCCACCTCTCAAATTCTCGCCTTTTCAACACAAAACCAATCTCTTGAACTCTCCTATAGAGAGCAACCCACCTCTCAAATTCTCGCCTTTTCAACACAAAACCAATCTCTTGAACTCTCCTATAAAGAGCAACCCACCTCTCAAATTCTCGCCTAGAAAGAAAACTTATTTCTCAAACTGTCATATTTCTGTAGAGAGAGAAAAATTTAGGAGGCATAAAGAGAAAAAGAGAGAGAGAGAGTTCGGGCATAGAGTGCGACAGGAACACATGACTACAAAATAAGAGGAAGAGGGAGGAAAACGATATTTTGGCTTTAAATTTTTTGACTTCTCGACGGGAGGGGTGGGGCAGTATTGAGATCTAAAGTGTGTGATACTAAAAGTATTGGGTTGGATCTCTTTAAAATTGATTTTAAAGTATCATTAATGGGCAAGCTTTCTATGCTTCCCCTACAGCATAAAACTTATATACTTTTCCTTATCCAACCGTCCATTCTGAATGGAGGGTTAAGATTGTCCCAACCATAATATCACGTATCTACAGTATTTTATTTTTAATTTTTTTTTTAAACTATTTTGACACCAAATTTTGGACACCCAATCATCTGTTAAATTCGCACTAACAAAAAATATTAAAAGAATATTTTCAATAAAACATAGTGACCAAAATACCCTTAAAATTTTAAGAGGTATTTTGGTCATTATATTGTATCGAAAAAAAATTTAATATTATTTATAGGTGCGTCCCAATGAGAAGAAGGCACGTACCAAATTTCATATTCATACAATTTATATAAAAAAAATTAAAAATAAAATACTTTGAGACATCATATTTAAGATGGAGTGACTCCCTTGATCAAAATTAGATAGCTGGATCTACAATACCCTTTTTTTTTTCTTATTTTATCTCTTTTTTCTTTGTAACTGCATCATGGTCCTAGTACTTTTAGCTTTACTATAGTTATACTCTCATGGTGCTGGCTTTTACGCTCTCCGAGGATGAAGCTTTCACCCCCTCTAAAATGAAAGCAAGATATTGCAATGATACTCATAATCAAATATGTTCCGTTAACGTCACATAATAGCACAATAAGTGCTTATGAATACCCCACCTCTCTCATGGATATAAGCATCAACTCCATCATCATCATCTTTCTCTCTCTCTCTCAAAAAGTCTATTGGTGCGTGTGCGTTCATCTATCTAAGCTAAAATCTAGGCTTTTAGCTTCACCTAGAGTTACTTTGGTCCACTCTCCACTGCTCTGTTTCTTTTTGTGATCACTTTGTGCTTGTGTATGTGTATGTGCGTGCTTGTTACCGACCTTAGGATTGGGCTAAGCTTATTTTTCTCATTTGTACAGTTGGCCTATGTTAAACTCTTGGTTCCCAAGTATCATACTTGATTTGCCACACTTCTTAGTTTGATCCTACAAAGGTATAATCTTTCTGCCTTGGGCTCTTTTTTTGAGAAATTTATATTACTTTGTCATAAGAAACGTATATAAAAGGATTATTTAATTTTCGTACAAAGATGTCATAATCATTTTTATCTCCTAAATTTTAAATAGGGAGGTCATTTGTATGTCATCGACTAAATTCAAAGTTCAAATAAAGATCTTAAACTTCGTGACACACCTTAAGCCATTAAATTTGACATCTAATGGTTATGAGTGATTGTGACCTCCTTGTAATTATGGTAAATAGTCTCACAGTGTACAATCCCTTATTCAATACTTATATGATTTTTTGAGCTCCTTGCTTTGCCATGCAAAATCCTTCTTTCCATGTCAAAGAATAGTTGTCAATAGGGGGAAGGGGAGCGGAGGGGAGGCTAGCTTGTGGACTTTTGGGCTGTGTTCGGACAGTATGTTGAGCCCCTATAGGCCAGTCGGCCTAGCACTAGGTTGATAATAGACGGGCCTAGTCCAGGGCATCCCTAGTGCGAGCCCTCCCATAGTCCCCATAGGGCGAGCTGGGGTCATTTCAGAGTAAAACAAAAAGGCCCTAGCCTAGTCCCAAGCCTTTGAGGCAAAACCTGTTTTTCTATATCATAGAACTTGGGACAACTTCAGGTGCCAATTCGGGGAAGGGGAGGGGCCTATTTTGTGGGATTTTGGGCCGGGTTAATGCATGTTGATGCACGTAGGCTGGCCAGCCTAGCACTAGGTTGACAATGGACATGCCTGATTCAAGGCACCTTGGGCCTTAGCCCACCCCTATTTCCATTAGGGCCAGCCTAGGCATGGCCCAGTCCTGCCTCTAGCCTAGTCCCAGGTCCATTGCTGACCCTATCCCAACGGACCAAATTCAAGAAAAAATGTCCAGGAAAAAACCAGCTGGCCTACCCTATTATGGCCCAGCCCATCCCAACTCTCGCCTCGTGAAGCCCCATTTTTTAGAGGCACGGCCACTACCCCTAGCTAGTACTAACTAGGGCGGGGCCCGAATGTATATATTAAATGTTGCACTATTGATCTTAAAATTTAGAAGTTCCTGATCGGATTTGATGTATATGTGCATGTTTAAGAATAAAGATTATGCTTTGTTACAGTCCGAATGGTGTGATTGATGCGTGTCTACCGAGTAATTACTACAATGCACATTTTTTTATCTAAACTTGCACATATGTGTGTCACTTTTGTCTTCTTTAGTGTTGTGGCTATGGTTTATTAACGCTTCTATTATCTTTGCTCAAATCATAAGGCTCTTTTTTTTTTTGGGTAACGGTAAAAAGTTATTGGAACTTCCAAAATACATGTAAAATATCAGCTATTTAATATTTTATTCAATTAATCATTTCTGCTCATGACCATGTGTTTTTTTATAATTTTTTAAAAATGAGTAAATTATTAAATAGGTTATTTCTTTAATATATTTTAAATATAACTCTCAATAAACTTCCCAAAAATCTATTTAAAAAATAGGCAAGATTCGAGAGGAGATATTTGGAGCAGAAAGCTGCCAAATAAAATTAATAGAGTTAATGAAAATGAAAAGAGGGAAAACTTAGCCTCCAGTAAGGTTAGGGGTGTTAATAGACTAAGCCGGCCACTTGCCCCAGAATGGGCTGGGTTGGAGCCTAGCCCAGTTCAGGCTAGGTTTTGGTAGACCAGGAATATTTTCTACCTAGGCCAGGCCCGTCTCGGCCCGCTTTTTTGGGGTTGGACCTCGCAAGCATGTTTTGGGCTGGGCCTACATTACGATTTCAGGTAGGCTACAGAACCCAGCTTGTTAACAGCCCTAATATAAAGTTAAAACTTTATATAAACTTTTTCCAAGCTTTTTAGGTTTAACCTTTTAAAAAAAGTTTAGTTACTTGTAGGGTAAACCCTCGTTAAAGTCCTCAACACTTTCGGACAAAAAAAAAACAATATGGTTAAATAAATACACTCCACTATTTTTGTCTTTTTCAAGTCAGAGAAATATTCTTCCCCGTCGCCCTACCATTCCTTTTTTGGCCTCTCTCTCTACATCGCCTCTTGCAATACTCTCTCTCTCAAGAATCCCTTCTCTCAAAATTGCTTCTCACTCTAACTGCCCTCCTCTCTATCGCCGCTCAGAAAACCCAAAAATCAGCCAAACTTAGGAATAAAAATTGTCTCTAAAATCCTTAAAAAAAGTATTTCTCTTTTTAAAATCCCAAGTATTATGAGAAAAAAAATTGCAATTCAAAAAAATTATACAAATAATCCACTAATTTTAGTCAATTGAATCAAAGATCTAGTATAAAACCATGGTGTAGAGAGAAAAGCAATTATCTTTAGAGAGAAACAAACAAGTTATCTAGAGAGAGAAATAGGTGTCGCTAAGGTATGGCTTTTGGGCCTCTGGTCTCATATTTTAGGCTCATTGCAAATGGGATGGGAACATGGGCCGTGGAGAATGCTTTTGCGGCGTACACACCACATTGGATGGAGGCTCCGATTCTCTTTTTTTTTTTTAGATAATTCAATAAGGAAGAAAAGCCCATGTTTTCTCAAATAGTGTAGGAGTTAATTTTTTTAATGTGTTAATAGGCCCCACAAGCAGCACATGCCCCCAACGTTTTTCACAAGTAGGCCCCAAAAGCAGCACATGGCCCCCAACTACATGCTAAACAAACGTATTAGATCATGAATAATTTAAGTGCCACCAAAAAAGCAAAAAAAGAAATTATTAGATCATGAATAATTTATGTGCTACCAAAAAAAACAAAACGAGCCAATTTTGGACAAAACTTACTTAGAAAGTGGGTGTGTCTATGTTTTTTTGTTTCAATTAGGAAACAACTAGCAAACCACTTTCGCAATTACTCCATGTTCTTTGATTTTTTAAGAACACTATTTTTTTTCTTTTTTTGAAATGCTTAATGACTAGTATCCCTTTTTATGTGCCGGGTCTCACACGCATGGGCAATGGTCTATTTTTATCTAATTACAAAACAAACAAAATTATTATTTATTTATTCAGTTGTCCGAACTCAAGTGGCTCTCTTTTAATGCATCTTGAGTTTGAGGGGGAGTGTGGAAAATTTAGAAACCTGCACTGATATATATGAACAATATTTTCCTTCTTCTTATTTGTAAACATATTAAGAATGTGGTTCATTACATAGGTTAGTTTATTTAGTAGGACACAATTTTGTAACCCTATAACTTAGGGCACTTGTTCATATTTTTGAAATGTTCAATAATCAATAATACATCTTCATGGGGTCTTAAGGCCCAATTATACAGAAATACAGTTTCTCACATTATATAAATTTTTCCTTAGTGTAATAAGTATTTCTTGCTCAATCTTCCAAACTGGCCGTAATAACAACTACATCATCCAAATATTTTCCAAGCATTTCACTATTTTATTTATATCTAAAAGCCTATTCACACACCATCAAACGATCTGCATGCTTTTACTTTATCTAAACCATTAAAATGATTAAATTGTTCACGTCGGTGGGGGTACTTCATTTGGTTCTTGGATTAATTTTACAATCACACGGTAGTAATTCATCGCTCCCATAAAAACCATGAGTGAAATGATAGAACTTACTGAGAAATCATGAGTATGAGGATTTAATCCAAATGGTGCTGACCCTACGCTAGTTTATGGCATTTGCAGCAATGTGGCCGTCCTTAATTCTCTTGTTGGCCCTATTTTGTGAACCCATTTCATGCCAATCAGTTGGAAAGATTCAACAAAGTCCAAAAGAAGTGATCACGGTAGAGCACGGCGTTGTAGCGACAGACAATATTCAATGTTCAAAAATTGGTAGTAGCATTCTTCAAAAGGGGGGTCATGCAGTTGATGCATCAGTTGCCGCTGCCTTCTGCCTCGGTGTTGTTAGCCCGGCATCAAGTGGCATCGGTGGGGGAGCTTCGATGTTGGTTCGATTGTCAGATGGGCTCGTGCGTGGCTATGACATGCGAGAAACCGCTCCCTCTAAGGCTTCAAGGGTAAAGGAATAAGGGAATTTACTTATTATTTGTTTACCAAGAAAACTTGGTTTCTCTCAAGTTCTCATTCATTTATTGTATTCTAAGGACTTTTACAGTTAGGAAACCAGGAAAACTAAAAGGAAAAGAAAAAATAGATAGAGAAGGCCCCTCAGAATCAAACTAATTTCTTGTGTATTGATTGCCTATTTCTCTTGTAATTGATGTAAAAACAAGTACTCAAATCCCATGCTAATGGCATGAATTACATTTATAGGATATGTATGCACATGATCCCACTGCAAAAGAACAGGGTGGACTATCTGTTGCAGTTCCAGGTGAAACTTTAGGTCTCTATGAGGCTTGGAAGGAACATGGCAAGCTCCCATGGAAGGAACTTGTGAAACCTGCAATTGCACTAGCAAGAAACGGATTCAAGGTAGGTCTTTTTCTATATTTTCAAATGCAGGCTACAGAGGAGGAAATACGCAAAGATGAGGGTTTAAGAGAGGTCTTCATGGTGAATGGGACATTGTTGAAGATTGGCGATATATGTCGTGATACCACACTTGCAAATACATTGGAGAAGATCGCAGTTCATGGGGCCTCGGTGTTTTATGACGGTCCTGTAGGGGCCGATTTAGTTCATGATATCCAAGAGAAAGGTGGGATAATCACAATGGAAGACTTGAAAGGTTATAAGGTTAAACACAGGAGGCCAATTTCTGCAAAGGTCATGAATCACGAGATTATCACCATGCCTGTGCCTGCTGGAGGCATTGGAATGATAATGGTGCGTATTTCTTCTCATTTCATCATGACGAACTCTTACACACTCTCTCTCTCTTATGTTCAATTTATCCATCCCTAGGTAGCGGTATCATTGAAAATGAAACTATACTATATATATCATCATATCCTTTATCTAAATTGTTTGGCCCCCTAAGTCATCCAATCTAAATAAACGGTTGGGCGCTTAAGCCATAATGTTACTAGTTAGCCTCTAATTGTTTGATCTAAATTGTATGGCCAAGGGCATTTTAATTCTTAGTTTTTTTTAATAAGGGTATGGTTTATACAATGTGGCATCCCTCAACAATCAAAGGAAGGTGCAACTCTAAATAGGGTCCAAAAATGATTATTAAATAGCAAACTTTTTTTGTAATGCATTACAAAATGCACCATTTTTCAAACTTTGAATCCACTCTTTTCACATCAATGCATCTCGAGATTGAGATGATCGATTTGAGGGCTTTTCAACATTGAAACAATCTCTTCTAGTGGATTTTTTAGGTGCCTTATATGAACTTTTTCTTGTTATAAATTATCTTGCCTGCCCTTTTCTAATAGGGTTCGCCTAAAATCAAAAGTAAAATTTATTATAGATGAAGATGACCATAATACTTTAGTAAGTTACGGGTATTTTGATCTTTTTATTTTATCAAAAAATGTTTTTTATGTTTTTTCTATGTACCGTTTTGAGAATAATGATGCCCCAAATTTTATGTCAAATTAATTTATGAAAGCTTAAAAAAATAAAACGTTTGATGTGACAAGCTATTCTAACCGCCCATTTAAATCAAACAACCAGGATTTGGAGACATAATTTATCTATATATGTTTACTTTTTGCAAAGTGCATCAGAAGTGATTAAAAAGTCCAATTTATGTTGTAGGTTTTGAATATACTTTCTCAATATGGAAGTGCTCAAGCCCTTTCTGGCTCCCTTGGACTCCACCGAATGGTTGAAGCAATGAAGTACATGTTTGCAGTAAGACCGAACCTGGGTGACCCAGACTTTGTGAATATTGAACCTGTTGTTTCCAAAATGCTATCCCAAAGCTTTGCAAGAGAATTGAGGCAGAGAATAAATGATAGCACAACTTATGAAGCTAGCTACTATCTTGATAGGTACAAATAATTCTTAAAGCCTTTACACTCCAGAAAGTAAAATAATTACATTCAAGCTCTAATGCCATTGGATAGCAACACCCGGTACTTCAATTCTATTTGACATGAATTTTTAACTTACGCTCCTGTTTTCAAATATTTTTAGATGTGGAGATTTGATTTGAATTTCTATGTAAGTGAAGACATGGTGGCAATGGGCTAGGCAACCTAGCCCTGAACAGCAATGTCTGGGCTCAAATTCTACGTCTGTAGCGCAGGGCGAGCCGGTCAAGGGTCATATGACCCAGCCTGGCCCGATCCTATTAGAAGATACAAGCCAAACCAACCCAAAAGTGGGGCAAACGTGGGCCATGGCCTCTTAGGGCCATGCCTACGCCGGCTCAAGTTGGCCCCACCTATAGCCACCCCTAATATCAATACATAAAACAATGATGAGTATTTAATATGGGCAAGCTTTTTATGCTTTCGTTGCAGCATAGAAGTTCTATCATCCACCTTATCCAACCATCCATTCTGAATGGAGGGCTAAAATTGCCGCAATCACAATGTCATATATCTACACTATTTATTTTTAATTTTTTTCTATAAACTATTTTGACACAAAATTTTGGAAGTTCATTCCTCTATTAAATTCACACTAGCAAAAATACAAAAACAATATTTTTAATAAAATAAAATGATCAAAATACCCCTAAAAGATTTAAGGGGTATTTTGGTCATTATATTCTATCGAAAAAAAATTTTAATATTATTTATAGGTGCGCCCCAATGAGAAGATGGCACGTACCAAATTTCATATTCATACAATTTGAATAAAGAAAACTAAAAATAAAATACTGTGAGATGTCAGATCTAAGATCAAACGATGAGGGCTCTCTTGATCAAAATTGGATGGCTGGATGCTAGGAGGAGGACAGAACCTCTATGTTGTAAAGGAAGCATAGAAACCTTTCCCATTTAATATGAAAACATTTGCCTTTGCTTCATCGATAGTGCATAAAGGGTTGTGGTTCCCATTGAATCTTAGCACTATAAATATAAAATTAGAAAAGAAAAAAAGCTCTTTATGCGTTCGAATGCATAACTATATTTGCATCCGCCAAGGCATCAATAGAGGGTGGTCCTTCCAAGAAGGATTGAAACCAACGGTCTAATATTCTTCTCAAAAATATGATTTTTTTAGTTTTTTAGAAGTTTACTTTTAATATATTAATAATCTCCATGTCTGAGATTTTTGTATGTTCTTTTTGTAAGTTTAGGCCTATGAGGAAAAAGTAAAATATCATATCAAAACTTTATCAAGAAAAAACTTTAGACATGGGAAATCTTTAGGATGACTCTAAAATCAATTTCAACTACTGATTATGAAATCTAAAGCTCAAAAAATACTAAGATCTTACAGATCTGTGAACACTTGAAAATAGACATTCTAGGTAATGTGTTATAATATGCACTATTTTTAGGGTTTGAAATCCTTATTTTCTTTCACAATCATAATGGTCAAAGTCGAGATGATCAATTTGAAAGTTCCCAAATCCATAATTACAATCTTCTGTAAGTTCTGAGGTGAGGCTTTACTTATTTATCGTATCAATTTAAACTTTAGACCTTCATCTGACCATATGCATAGTTTGATTTCTATATTAGGCAGTTCGAAAGTCTTATTTATCAGGGCGATTTAAATGTTAGACCTTCAAGTATCCATATGCATAGATTGATTTGAGTTTTAGGCAGTTCAAAAATAGGAGTTCGAACTGCCCAAGCACCTAAGTTTTTTGTATTTTGGTGCAACTTTCAAACCTCCCAAACACGTTGTGTTTTAGGCTATATCCAAGTTCAACTTGTGAAGTTCAGGTAAAATGAGAACATAAAAGCTCAAGAATTTCTATTTAAACTTCCATTTTCAAAGCATAGGTTTTTGGTGCAGGTGGAACCAAAGCCGGGAGCATGGCACGAGTCACCTAAGCACTGTTGACAGTGAGAGAAATGCAGTTGCCTTCACTACCACTATTAACAATTATTTTGGAGCATTATTTCGCTCTCGAAAAACAGGCATAGTACTCAACAATCAGATGAATGACTTTTCTATCCCTTCGGATGTTTCTTCACAGAACACCATGCCTCCCGCTCCTGCAAACTTTATCAAGCCACACAAAAGGCCCTTATCCTCCACCACGCCCACTGTAATCCTCAAGGTCTCTCTCTCATATATGAGAATTACCTTCATAATCCTCTCTCTCACAAATATATGAGAATTACCTTCATAATCCTCTCTCTCACAGATATATGAGAATTACCTTCATAACTCACTCTGCTCTCCGTCTCATGAGAATTACCTTCATAATCCTCTCCCTTTCTTATATGAGAATTAGCTTCATAATTCTCTCTCTCACACACACAGATGAGTATTACCTTCATAATCCTCTCTCTCTCGTATATGAATTAACTTTTTACTACATTTTTTATTTTACTCTCTCTCTCGTATATGAATTAACTTTTTACTTCATTTTTTATTTAACACTCTCTCTCTCGTATATGAATTAACTTTTTACTACATTTTTCATTTATGTTAAATAGGATGGACAACTTAAGGGTGTTATTGGTGCAAGCGGAGGATGGAGAATAATTCCTTCAAATATACAAGTCTTATTGAACCATTTCATTCACCAAATGGACCCATTTGATTCAGTTTTGGCACCTCGACTCTACCATTCAGTAAATTTCTAATCACCTTCTGGTTCTTCATCCATGTTTTACTTTATTTTTTGGGGTCTATTTGGATGACAATTAATTTTATAAACATTATACTATCTTATTTGAAATTAATCTTATACGTAACATTATTTTTTTAGTTATTTGATATATTCATTTGATATATACATTAATTCTACATTTTAAGGTTGCAACCTTATATAAACTTTTCCATATATATATATATATACACACACACAGGAAAGTATACCATGAGACCATTTACCTTTGGTAGAAGGTGGTCAAAATTAATTTTGACCATTGCATGTGAAATTGGGTAGTTGCATTTATTTCATTGACCAACTTCAAAGTTCAAAAGAAATTTTGTGGAACTCTGTGATGCACCCATGCTATCAGATATGATCTCATCTAATGGTTGTAAGTAATTGTGACATCTCTTTACCAATGGTAAATGGTCTCATTGTATACAATCCTTATAAATATGAGTCCACTATACAATCCTAATAAGTGGTCTCATTGTATACAATCCTTATAAATCTGGGATTAGCCCACTAGCTCATATGAACATATGAGTTCAAAGGCCCAAATTGAATCTGGGCTGATCTGACGATCAAGGATATCCGGTAGTGTTTGAATTTTTTTTTTTCTACAAATCTAAATCACTTGAAATTTTAGGCGTATGTTTATAAAAAATAAGTGAATCTTCGAAAAATATCAAAAATTTACTTTACATGAAATAAAATGACCAAAGTACCTCCAAAAATATTAGGGGGTATTTTGGTCATTTTATTTTTTCAAATGCTTTTTTTTATATTCTTATTAGGTGAGCCTTGATGAGAAGAACACACACCTAAAATTTCAAGTAATTTGAATTTGTAGAAAAAAACAAAATTCAAACATTACCGGACATCCTTGATCTTCAGATCGGCCCAGATTCAATCTAAACCGTTCGGCTCATACGTTCTTATGAGCTAGTGGGTTAATCCCCCATATATATATATATATATATATATATATACTTCAACACTCTTCAAATTACAAAGGCTCTAAATTACAAAGGTTCAAGATAGAGAGAGTTGGGATGGTGGATTTATTAATTTTGTTGTTTGTTTTTTAAAAGAAGTTACTTTTGTGAGGCAATTTGGTAAATATTACTACAAGAAAATGAGTACTTTTAAAAAACAAACTACTTTAAGGTTTCGAATCTAGATTAAATGGTTAGTGACTCACTTGATTTAAATTGAACTACTAAATGAAGGGGAAGTATATATCTTTTATGCTGTAGAGAAAGCCCAAAAACCTTTATAACGGATGTTGTCAAACCATCGATAATTCATCAGTGCCCAAGTTGGCAGCAAAAATGTGCGCCACGAACTTTGAGGGAACAAAATCAGAACTTTAAATCATCTAATAAATGTTTTTACATTTTGAATGTTAGTTCCTCTAAGTATAATTTGCAACAAGAGGTAAATGAGTTTGTAACTTGTAATGGCTTTTTGGAGCATAAGATTTTGGAACCCTTTCTCTCTGGGCTATTGAGAAATAGTATTGTTATACTCTAATATTGCGTACATAATGAAAAAATAAAAATGTATTTGTTATTCAGCTCATACCCAACATTTTGCAATACGAGGACTGGGACACAGTAAGTGGGTATCACATTGAAGTGCCCCTACATGATAGGACAGCTCTGGAAAATAAGGGTCATATCCTTGAACCCCTAGCATCAGGGGCCATATGCCAATTTGTGGTTCACCACCTCCCCACTAGGGCACAGGGAGAGACCATTGTCAAAGCAAATCTCACTGGTGTGAGCGACCCAAGAAAGGAAGGTGCCCCTGCTGGTTATTGATGTGTGCTGCTGGTTATCGAGGTGTTTCTTCATGAGTGTATGCATGGGCGTGGTTTAATAATGACCCATGTTGTTTCTCTATCTGGAGTGCATGGAGTTGACCATAATTTTTTTTTCGTTTTTTTGGTTATTCGTGCGGAAAGGGTACGCTAATCGTGGTAAGAATGAAACTTAAGATTTTATAATGTGGCATCTAATATAATTTATATTTGAAAAAAAATTTCATGCGGGCCGAATCGCATTTTTACATATACGGTCCAGAAAATATAAAGCATCCACCTTAAAGATGGATGCAAGTAAGTGTTTCATATAAAAACAATGGAAACTAATAGTCCAAATATTTTATTACTAGAGTTATTATTTATAATTTTTAAAAATCTATGTATTTTTTCATATTCATGATTTCCAAATTAGAGATTACATGTCTTTAAGAAGCAAGCTTTAAAATCCATCTCAAAAATAGATTTATTGTGAAGCCCGCATTTCTACATATGCGGGCTTGGCCACGTAGAAACTGGGTCCTTTATATTTTACTCCTAATTAATTATTAAAATTAAAATGTTGTGACCGGAGTTTTAATTTTACACAAGTCTTCACTTTTTCCTTTTTTCTTCTTTTTACTCTCTGGCTCGATGTCGAAAATTCAAACTACATTCTTTGTTCTTTTCTTCTTGCTCTTGTACAAAGTTAGGATTTTCAAAACCACGAACGGGTGTAAAATGTTAGAACCGGTTAGGATTTTCGATATCCGAATGGCCGGAAAAATAAATAAAAATAGAAATAAAATAAAAAGAGAAAAAATGTTTGTCTTTTGAAAATCAACACGTTCATTTTTAATAAAAACAAACAAATTTTGGGTTTTCCAGACATTCAATAATAACTCCCCGTACACCTGTGTTTTTTTTTTTTAATCAGAAGACTTGTTCTTCAATTAAAAACTTATTTAAATTCAAATTTCAAACTTCCTATTTTATTTTATTTTTCTTGAAAATTATCACATGCTGATTTCAAAGTAGATCCCATAGGTTTAAAGAGGGAGAATGAGACATCTTACATAACACAAAAGGCGGTTTCTATAAGGTTTCAACCTTAAACAATCTAATTAAGGCGCACCTTCAAATTTTATCATAACATGTAATTTGATGTAAAACATTCTTATGATTATTTAAAAATATATTTTTATATCTAATTATAAAATTTTATACTTCAAAAATGGTTAAAATTATGTAGATCTATAAACATGTGAAAATCTTGAAAATTGATGGTCTTAATAATGTGTTGCAAGATGCACTATTTTTAAGACTCAAAATTCTTTTTTTATACATTCATACATCTCCATGTCGAGATGATCAATTAGAGGGTCTTTCAATATTAAAACAAGCTTTTTTGATGGATTTTTGAGATGCATCTATAACTCTACATTTTAAATATGCAACCTTATATAAACTTTTAAAAGAAAAAGACTTAATCCATAAGAATATCAATATTATACAAAGGCATTAAGAACCAAGGTTTAAAAAATCGATGACCCGATCCCGAATCGGGTGATCTAGATCGGAAATCACCCAGGACACTCCGTATTAGGCCAAAAAATAAGATCTAGGCGGTTCCAAATGGTAGAATCACCGATTTTTTCTTGGAACCATTGATTTTAACAATTCTTCACTGAGTCCGACCGATTTGTCATTGATTTCTGAAATTTTCTTGAATTATTTTTTAAAAGAATTTGAAAAAAAAAAAAAAAAAGGATGAACAATTTTTTCCTGAATTATTTTTTTAAAAGAATTTGAAACAAAAATTACCGATTATGCTGATTCTTCCAATCCGATCCATCAATTCCCCCGATCTGACATGAGTACAAGTGCGACTGATTCTTCTAATCCGATCCACCAATTCCCCCGATCTGACATGAGTACAAGTGTGACTGATTCGCGTCAATGATCCGTTTTTTTAAACCTTATCAATAACTGTTGTTTATAAAAAGTAGCAAGAGCGCATCTTTTAAGCATATGGGATATCTCTTCTTACATTTACATATTTATTTAAGAAAAAAATTTATATAAGGATGCAACCTTATAATGTAGAATTACGGATGCACATCAAAAATCCATAAAAAAGAAAGTCGTTTTAATGTTGGAAAACCCTTTGATTGATCATCTCGACATTTACATAGATGGCTATGAAAAATGAAAAGACTTTTTAAATCTAATAAATAATGCATTTTACAACATATCATCTACACCGTCGTTTTTCAAGATTTTCATTCGTTTATATATCTACTTAATTTTAATTATTTTTAAAATTTATAATTTATAATTAAAAATAAAAATAGGTTTTGAGATAATCCTAATAACGCTACCTCTACGGCAACTGATACATCCGTATGCCACCTGCACCCTTTTATTTAATCTTCTACCATTCCAAGCATGTAAATTAAATGACATTTATAGCTATCAACTCTAAAATCTACGTTCCCCAATGCTTTTATTGAAAATATCTGAACATCAAATTGCAACTCTTCTCGAAAAACATGGATCCTCTGTGCCCAATTATTATCATATGGGTTCCTTTATGCAGGACCACCCCCACCCACCGACCCACCTACCCACCCAACCACCCACCCACCCACCCACCCACCCACCCACCCACCAACCCTCCCACGTGACCTTTTTTTTTCTCACACGCTGTTTAAATACGAGTGTGATTAAATGCAAAAGAGTACTCCTGCAGGAGTATAGTGTAAGTTTATTACTTCAATAAAAGAAACTATTTGGAGGGATTTTTCAATTTACAATTTTGAAAATCTCCTGAATATGACTATATTGTTATATTCAACAGTTAACTTTTTCTAACACTTAGGTTACACCCTCTAAAATAGTGGACCGCCTCCTTTCAATCTTGAGATACTATTGTTTCATGTATGTAGAGGATGCAATTAGGAATATTTTTTATTGAGGTTAATATATGGTTTGAAGAAGTTGTATCTCCAAAATTTAAGTTCCTTAAATTATTCCTAGGTATGGTTGCATTTGAGGCAGTAATTGAACAATATACTCTCGAGTGAGTATAAATTCTTTTGGTAATTAAAATGGAAAGCAGCCGACACCATTTTTTGTCTTTAAATTATTTTGGTAATTAAAATAGAAAGCACCTCACACCATTTTTGTCTTTAGCAATCATACTCCTTTTGCCACTTGCTTTCTTTTATGGATAGCACGTAAAAATCTGCACCAATCACATGCTTAATTACTTTCATGCAATGAATACAAATTCATCCCAAGTTTCTACACTTTCCGTGTGCCCTTTGCACAAAAGCTTTTAGGGTGAGGTTTGTATAAGGTTTCAACCCTATGCTATTGAAGTAAGGTGCGATTCACAATGATGCTTAAAATGTAGTTTCGGTTCCTCAAAGATTTGTAATAATATGAAAATTTATTGTTATACCCAATTATATAATTTATGATTGTGACGATCAAGCTGATCTATAAATATTTTAGAATCTTGAAAATAGACAGTCAAAAAAATATATTAAAAGATAAACTATTTTTAGGATTAAAAATCTTTTTTTTTTCATACTTATAAATTTAAAAATCATGATGATCAATTTGAAGATTTTCCATTATTAAAACAACCTTCACTAGTGGGGTTTTTAGGTGCACCTTATCCGTTTAATATAAAATTGAAACTTTATATAAACTTTTTTCAAGCTTTTTAGGTTTAACCTTTTAATAAATACACTCAGCTATTTTTGTCTTTTTTAAGTCAGAGAAATATTCTTTCCCGTCGCCGCCCATGCCTTTTTGGGCCTCTCTCTCTAGATCGCCTCTTGCAATACTCTCTCTCGAGAATCCCTTCTCTCAAAATTGCTTCTCACTCTAACTGCCCTCCTCTCTATCGCCTCTAAGAAAAACCAAAAATCAGCCAAACTGATGTACTTCCAACCTTTAGGAATAAAAGTTTTCTCTAAAATACTTAAAAAAAGTATTTCTCTTTTTAAAATTTCAAGTATTATGAGAAAAAAAATATAATTCCAAAAAATTATACAAATAATTCACTAATTTTAGTCAATTGAATCAAAGCTCAAGTATAAAACCATGGTGTAGAGAGAAAAACAATTATCTTTAGGAAGAAAGAAACAAGTTGTCTAGAAAGAGAAATAGGTGTCGCTAAGGTATGGATTTTGGGCTTCTGGTCTCATATTTAGGCTCATAGCAAATCGGACGGGGACAAAGGCCGCGGAAAATGCTTTTGGGGCGTACACACTACAAGGAGTAGAGGCTCCGATTCTTTTTTTTTTATTTTTTTAATTTTTTAAGATAATTCAATAAGGAAAAAAAGTTCATGTTCTCTCGAATAATTCAGGAGTTAAATTTTTTTAATGCGTTAGTAAGGTAGAGTGAACGGAACGGATGTAGAGGTGCTACCACCTCCACAAGTTTTTTCTTAAGTAGGCCCCACAAGCAGCACGTCGCCCCCAACGTTTTTCATAAGTAGGCCCCACAAACAGCACATGGCCCCGAACTTTTTTTATAAGTAGGCCCCACAAACAGCACATGGCCACCATCTACATGCTAAACAAACGTATTAGATCATGAATAATTCACGTGCTACCGAAAACCAAGAAAAACAAAAAAAAATATATTAGATTATGAGTAATTTTCCTGCTACCAGAAAAACAAAATGATCCAATTTTGGACAAAAATTACCTAGAAAGTCGGTGTGCCTATGTTTTTTATTTTTTAAAAATTTCCCACGGTACCGTTTTTTAATTTTTTTTATTAATAAGGAACACTTAGCTCAGGCCAAAGATTGGTATGAGGTCTTCATCTTTAGGCCGATTTTTTTTTCCACAAAAAAGGAACAAAGGGCAGTTCGAAGATAGGGACTTCGAACTATACTAAAATAGAATCTAGACCCCGAACAATAAAAAATAAAATAAAAATAAAAATTAAACAACGTTACGATACGAAGATGGCATCCTCAACCAAGGATTTTTTTTCCAAAAAAAAAAATGGGTAGACAGACGCATTATGAAATTTTCAGCCAAAATTGATCCATTCGTACTTTCCTATATATTTTTTATCCGTATGCAATTACTTTATTTTGGCGACCTTTATGGTTTTCAGGATAAGGCATTAAACCAAACATGGTGTACCGCAATTGAAAAATAAAAGCCGGATATTGCAATGGTCCGCCATTATGTGCCCATAATAATACAATTATACCCAATGAGCGCCTATTAAATACCCCACCCCTCCAAAGGTTCTAAGCATCATCACCAACACACTCTCTCTCTCTCTCTGAGTCTGTGTCGGTGTACATTCGTCAGTCAAGTTTTTTGGCTTACCCTCTTGAGCATTTATTGTTTTTGGCTTCCAGTTGCATTTGCAGGTAGTTGCTCAATCCACTTCTAAACTACTGCTCCTTCTCTAAGCGCCATTGTTTTTTTGTTTTTTAGGTAGCTGCTCCTTCTCTAAGCGCCATTGTTTTTATGTTTTTCAGGTAGTTCGGTGGGGAATAGAGGCCCTACCCGTTTTTAAAAATAATTAACGGTTTTTTAATACGTTACTAAGAATGGAAACATAGCTGAAACATAAGTAGCACAACGACCACAATTCCATTCTCAAAAAGAACTTGTGCCACTTCTGTTACAGACCCCCCTCTTTCTCTCTCGGTTTGTGTTTACGTGTGTGCGCACTTTTGTTGCAGACTATTAGATTAGTCGAGAGTTATTTCCCTCACTGATTCGGTGTTGCGCATTCATCTGTCTAGCGTTTTTAGCTTGGACTACACTTCTTTTGCTCCATTACTCTTAGTTCCTCATTTGCTCCATTACTCTTAGTTCCTCATCTCTGTGCGTTTGTGTTTGTCTGTGTGTGAAGGTGCTTTATTGCCGACACTTCAATTAGGCAAGGGATAAATTTTTTCCTATGGTTATATTGGTCTTTGTTCTGCTCATATATTTCACTCCCGAGTAGTATACTACATTTATCACAACTCCTTTTTCTTTATCCCGAGTGTTTTCGTGACTTCTGACTTTTTCTCAAAAGGCTTTATATTTTTACTTTATTATAACCCGGTCAATATCTTGTCATATTTTTGGGGCACAAAACCTTTTTTATACTTCATTATTTTTAGCGGGTTTCAAAAAAAAGATGGATTGAAGTTGCCCAATTTAGATTGAAAATCAATGGGATTCTAGCCATATAAGGAACTTTGGTTCCCAGTAAATGCCACGTACCGAACTCTGGTATAGAATCGGACCCCACCTTTTATTTTTATTTATTTTTTTAATATTTTGATTTTTCTCTTTTCATTCTTATTGGCCGATTAATTCGATTGGATCACTTTCGATCCATTGGGACCAAATTTCTGAATGTATGGGTGATCTTTAAACATCGGGATCTAGCATTTGACTCCACATTCGGTGTCTCAGTATATTTTTGGGGTAGGATTTTGCATGGATATAATTTGATTGGCGTGATTCATGACTGCCTACCAAGTAATTACTATAATTTAGATTTTTATCTGAACTTGAATATATGTGTTTCACTTCTATCTTTGTTATGTGGCTATGGTTTATAGACGCTTCAATTATCTATGCTCTTACCTCATCACAAGCCTTTTGTTTTTCTACTAACTGTTAACAAATTATTGGAACTTCCAAAATACACGCAAAATATTTAGTAATTTAACATTCTCATTTAATCAAATATGTCAACTCATGATCCACTTGTCTTTTTATAGACCTTTTTAAAAATAGTAAAAATTAAAAATAAAATTTAAATAATTCATCTTCAATACACTTCGGTTGGTTTCTCAAAAATCCATTTCCAAAAGGGTGCAGTTGGCATACAGAT